CAACAGCCAATCTCTGTCAGTCACACAAAACTGGGCAATAAGCTCAGCTATACTAAACATCGGTACTTGTGACAGGTAAGTGTGACAGATACATATAAGTTCTTACCAGAGAAAGTGATTAGGCAGCGTTCTGTGAGTGCATGATGTTTAAGCATGAGTCCGGGTACAGCAGAGAGGCCGACACGCATGTGGTTGAGCACATGTTCTTGCTTACAGCATGAGTGTTACGTTTTTTCCAAGGGTTTCCCTCCTTCTCTCTCTCCCTCTCTCAATCTCTCTTTCTCTCCCTTCCCACAAACACATATAGAGACTAATTTCCCAACACACTGGCCTTCCCGCTCCACTTTCTGCAACTTAGCACCAAATTGGAGCAATCATTAACCAGACTCAGTGCTTGGTAGAGTCCTGTGGAGGGATGACGAAAGAGAGAGAGAGAGAAAAAGAGAGAATGACAGAGAGAGGGTAAGCCAAAATGTTAGAGCAAAATAGAGAGAAAAATGGGTGTCTCAACTCTTTCTAGCCCCTGAGACCATTTTTATGTCCCAACACTTGTTACACTGGCCATTACATATTTGTGAAGTTGGAACGTGAGTTTGAGAGGAGCATATCTTGCAATATGTTTCCAAGAGCATGATGAGAGCTCCTAATATACACTTGTTTCTAGATGAAAATAATATTTCTTATAACAGTAACAGTGAAATCGTATTCTGTGTCCTTCCCCCCATTACTTCTCTTTCCCTCCTTTAATGTTTGACCGATTTTCATCAGTCTCAAGTTACAGATGTGGAAGTTTTCTGCTTTGGTTTTTATTTTATCCTATATTTTTAGATGTAACATCGCCAAATGCCCCCAAGCTGAACAAAAAAGGCTTTCTCCGTAAATGAGCATTCACTGCTTGTAATGCTCAGAAAAAAGGAAAGAGAAAAAAAAAGGAAAGTCAGAGTTAGAGAGGATACACCCTGAAGACATAGGTCCGTAAGTCTCTGATGCTTTATTTGTGCAGATTTGTCACGTACAACATGTCTGCTTGGATGCTTTTGATGCAGGACGATGCGAATCACATCGGCTATTTGGTGGGAGCTAGAGTGGAACTAATGGGCTTGAAGGTGTGAGGCTAATTAGGCTTGTGTATTCTGCTGTTATGATATCCAACTAGAGCTATGGCCCGCTGTGGATCCAGACCAATCAAGGTCCCCTGAAACATGCGCTGTTTAGCCCCGCGAGCTCGCTGTTCCAGGAAATGACCTGGAGCTTTTATCAACTATTGTTGCTGATTTAAGAGGTGGATCGACAGCTGAGAGTCACACAGGCAGAGCCAAGGGGAACCTCTTGGGTGGTTTGAGCCTTTTTCTTTCACTGTTTTTCATCCTGAAATAAGTTACTGAGCCAAAATGTTTCGCCTCTGCCTTGGGATGTGTTCAATGTGTGAGAAATGATGCAAATGCAAATTTGTTTCAGATACATGAAATAATGTTGGCGTTATTTAGTGATGCTTGGCCAAATACTAAACTAAATAGATGCACTTTTTAACATAAATACAAAATGTTCATTGTTCCCTTTGATTGAAAGAACATTTTGAATAATGCCTGGTCATTTATTTGTATTTGTGTAAAAAAAAATACACTGACAATCACAAATGAATGACGCAAATTCCCCGAACGTCACAAAAACATTGAAACCGTGTTCAGGTGCATGCTGGATGGCTCAATACAATGGCCACTAACAATTACTGTTGTTTGTTCAAGAGTACTTACCTTTCATTTGATTACACTGTCTAACAAATAAAATTACAAAAGGGGAGTATGCGTGCATGAATGCGGTCAGAGGGGAGCAGCAAGGATTAAAAACAAACCTCTTAGAAAACACAATAACTGTCTGGTTCAGAAAATGCCCCCGAGCAACAATCTATCATGCAGTTTCCATATGTAGAACCCTCCTGTGTCACTCATCTTCATACAACCTTTCCTTCCCATTGATGAGGCCTACATGAATGTGTTAATACTGATGTAATAATCGCTAATCTAGCTTTGTTTCTGAAATATCTAACAGAGGCCGAATAGATGATCGCTATGCATCTTTGTATATTCTTCCCGCTTCCCGTGCTTTGACAAAATAAGCCAAGGCAAAGCACGCCATGCTCATACCTTAGGGCGGCAGATGTTACACTGAGCATGACAGTGCTGGATGAGAGCCCCACTATCTGATAATGGGGTGAAGCAGAGTTCAGAGGAGACGGCGCATCATGCTGCAACACGCTCTGCGACTTGGCTGCTGCAAGGAAGACGTGACATCACGTAAATCTAGGCATCGCATTCTGTGTGACTAACCTGATTTTTGGTTAGATAGCACGCTTGCTGTGCAAGCGCTCCATCAACTTCAGCTCTTTGGCTTTTCTTTTTCTGTCTGCAAAACTGCTGGGATGTTTGTTTTCTGTGCAGCAGCTGAGTGACAGAATATTCTGTGCAGCAAACTAACCAAGACACCTCTCGCTTTCTGTGTGATGTTCTGCAACCATTAATCACTGTGCTTCAGCTGTTATCTGTGTTTTATCTGATCTCCTCCTACCTGTCTACTTTTACCTCAGTAAGTGATTTCCAACATTTCTCACAAATTCTTTTGAAAGCCCCAGAGAACATACTATATATGAATGTCGATATGGAGTCTGTGTTCTCATTTCGAATGGGACCCAATCACTGCTAAAAGGTGTTTTCCAAAAAGTGTCACAGAGTGTTTTTTAGGATGTTGCTTCTCTAAAACAAGGGACATTTAATTACATAATCAGCAGGACCTCAATATGACTGCGGCATAATTCAGATCAGTGTGACTCAACAGGAAATTCATCCTGATGAAAGCTTCCTGTTGATGTCCTAGTTTACCGAAAGACGTATCAACATACAATACAACACAATAAAAGCAGAACAGTGATTCCTTTTGATTTGCAGTTGCAGCACAAAACGAAAATGTCACAAAAAGATAAAGGACAATGAACATTCTGTAGCTGAAAGTCCTTCAGCCATACAGATTATAATTACACAAATCAAAGAGGAAGACTTCCCTCAGCGGCTCACTGAACTCAGACTAACAACAAAAGCACAGTGTGTGTCAGCTCCTATGTGTTTCTTTAATGTGCATGAACACTCGTCCAAACACAACAAACTGTGTGGAGTGTGGTATCGATCATTAACAGTCCCAATCATGGTTATGGTCTAATGGTAAGTATTAAGGCTAGATTTTTGCCATTTCCCCAGTCATTCTGAGAAAGGCAGGACAAGGACCATCCATCTTTATCTTTACATGTCAGTGTGAAAAGCACTGGAAGCTGTTCCTGTAAAACAAATCTTTGGCTGCCATCATGGAGCAGTTTTTTCCTTCTGCAGTAGGGTTCTCCCAGTGTGACTGATGAATATCTGTGATTCTAGGCTGCTGCTGCTCTTTGATTCTGGGAAACTCCTGCCAAGACCTGAACTATTGATGTTTTAGATTGTTGACAGCACCACAACACAAAAAAAGGTACCCAAACAAGCTATGCCTAAAGCTGACAGAGCTTTATACTTTTGGGGTAGATTTGACTTTAACTGATTGTATAAAAATACATTAAAAGACAAAGAAAATTAG